TCAGGCAGAGTCAATCAATCAGCCTTTCAATCATTCAGATAGACAGTCAATCAGTTAATCAGATGTAGTCAATCGTCAGCCAATCACTGCTTCCGCGTGGACTAAGCGTCAATTAAACATTCCCACATCATCATTCACAATCAATCAGTCAGTCAGTCAATCAGTCATTCAAGACAAACACCCTCAGAGGCCAATCTGACCAAGCACCCAAGCGACCCCATTCAGCAATCGTTTGCTGGGCATGAAAATGAATTTCGTTGTGGGGCGTGTTGACACAGCTCAAAATGACAAATCCCGTGCGCAATTGAAGCCATCCTTTAGATAAGATACTTTTTCATAATGGCGCGCTTTATGTATCCAACTGCCTTTTGCTTCTCTTCATTTTGTTGTTGTTGTTGTTGTTGCTCTTTTGCCTCGTCGCTGTTTGCTAATAATAAACTTATTAAATGTGTAAGCCAGCCGTTGTGTTGCTGTGCTCAAAGTGTCTCTTGGCTGTTGCCTCCGCTTTTATTTGGTAAATAATGAAAAATAATTTAATCAAGCAAACAAAAGGCAGCGTCAGTGGCAGCGGTAGTGGGCTGCAGCGATAACAAAAGGGTTAGCCAGGTGAACAACACCTGGCTCTACCCCCAAACCAAAAAAAAAAGAAAAAAAGAGAAAAACACAAACCAAAAAGAAATTGGGAAATTGCGTCAAAGCCAACTGCGGCTGCTTGTCAAATGTAAATTGATGGCCGGCCGCGGATAAGCGTTCAATTATTGGACCAGCTGCATGAGGGCTTAGAGCGCTGCTCACCAAATGCAGAAGTATATATGGGCTTTTGTCAAATTGCGCGGCTAATGAAAGGTAAATTTGATTTGGTAGAGCTGGCGAGTGAGATTAGCTTTGAAAAGCTGCTCACAGAATATAGTGGAGTATATGGGGCTTTATGTACTGTAGATAGCAGGAATATTAGCTGTTGAAATTCTTAAGGTAAGCTCGGGGGTAAAAGAAGTTAATTATGTAGATTTAGACCAGCTGCAGGTGGTTTGAAGGGGAGATTAGGTTTCCTGGGCAAACCTATAACCATACACTACAATAAAATCTACAAATATATAGTATAATTAATCTACATATATTCGATTTCTTATATTATTTTTTTAAATTTTTATTCTAGTAGACATTTGTTTTGGGATTTATTTTATGCTTACTTGCTTGTAAGTGCCTTGGTTTCAATAGAATCAAAGATAACTTTTACATTTGTTAATTAACATTATGTTACATAACATTTTGCAAGAGATCAGCTCAAGTTTAAAATAGTTGAAGCTTACAGTATATAGGCTTTATACCTTCCGATTAAAGCGAATAGTACGGAGAAATTATTCAACTGATGTGTGCTATAAAGAACTTATACAGAAAGCATCCACCACACAGAAATCCCTCAACCTAAAATCTAGCTGCTTACAGAGTATTATGCAGTCAGTTTTCGTGCATTTCCTGCATCTCTAATCCTTGGCGCCCGCTTAATTTTCATGGAAATGCAGTTTGAAGAGGCCTCAAACCAACAACAACAACAACACCAAATCGCCTGCGGTTTTCAATCATGCGCTAATAACGTAGCTAACAGGCTTTGACATTGCCTGACCAAAGCCGTGCGCCAGGTAGCCGAACAAAAGCATTTTGGCCGCATTCTTTTAGGCCAAACTGGCCGTGGCTATGTGCGAAATGTTTTGTGGCAGGCGGTGCGGGCGCAAAAACCGTCAACAGCAGCGACCATTCTTTTTGCCTCAAAGCCAACTATGCCACAGATTATGAATTTGACAGCGACAGCAGCAGCCCAGCAGCAGGAGCAAGAGCAGGAGCAGCATGAGATGGGGTTAGAGAGAGGCTCGGCTAGAGGCAGACAGCGGCGCATAATAAACTTTTGCAAGTGCGCTTGGCAA